GGATTTTCCAGGCAAGAATAAAATGGAGAAGGAAATGGCAACCCACTCCAGTATTCTCGCCTGGAGATTCCCACGCACAGAAGAGCCTGGGGGGATACAGTCCATGGGGTCACAAGAGGCGAACATGACTTAGCGACTAAACCACCACCAGGCAAGAATACTAGAGGGGGTTGCCATTTTCTTCTCCAGGGGATCTTCCCGACCCAGAGATCAAACCTGCAACTCCCGCCTGGCAGGCAGATTCCTTACCATATGAGCCACCAGGGAAGCCCTGGTCAAGGCTATACATGCTTTAAACATTCAGAAGAGGGAAGAATGTCTTACGGTCTGGCAGCATCAGAGAAGGACGTGAAAGGGAAGTGGAACCATCCATGTGTGTTGGGCATGAGTCAGTAGGAGAAGGACAGCAGGACACATGCCCTGACCTCACCAAGAGCCAAGTCAACTCAGGATAAGGCTCAATTACACTTTACACAGGCTAAGGCCCCAACTCCAAGCCAGACCCTCTCTGTAAAAGTCAGATGGAAAAACTCTGTCCAAAGAAATTGCATGTCATCTCTTTCACCACTGGCTCATTCACACACTCACCCCTTGGGTTTGTACATGTTTGGAAAGAGAGTGAAAATTCACTTCCCATTTAGTCCTAAGAACTTCAGTGACTCTTGCCCTGAGCTCAATTCTGCCTGTCCTCGGCCTAAGGCTCCGAGTTCCCACCCCGTTCACACAGGAGTGGAGCCTCAGGCTCAAGCTTCCCATGACCCAAAGCAAAGTAGGGAGTGGAGTGGAACACTGACCAAAGAATGGGTGGCCCTCAAAGACAGAACCTGCAAAGTGGGGCCCCTCAGAGCTCCGATCAGCCCAACGGGGCCTTGAGCAACAGAACTCGTTCACTTCCGACTCTTCTAAGACAGAAGCGGAAGTCCGGGCTCCTCACCCTGCTGATCTCACAGCTCATGCGGAAAAAGCTCCTCGCTCTAAGTTTAAAGTCAATGCAGTGACGAATAGGAAACACCAAAGATAAGTGGGGAGAGACACATATATGTGGAATCTAGAAAAACACTACAGATGAACCTATTTGCAGGATAGGAATAGAAAAGCAAGTGTAAAGAAGGGATGTGTGGACACAGGGTAGAAGGGGGCAGAACAAATGGGAAGATTAGTACTGACATACACACACTGCCATGTGTAAACCAGACAGCTAGTGGGAACCTGTTGTAAAGCACAGGAAGCTGGGCTCAGTGCTGTGTGATGACCTAGAGGGGCTGGCATGGTGTAGAGGTGGGAAGGAGGTCCAAGAGGGAGGAGACATATGTACACATGTGGCTGATGGGAGGAGACATATGTACACATATGGCTGATTCACTTCACTGACAGCAGAAACTAACACAACATGGTAAAACAATTATACTCCAATAAAAAAAAAGCAGATGAAAGTCAAAGATACCCTTAAATTTCTGCACCATTTACATGCAGATGATAGCATCCCTTTTTAAAAAACCAATCCCTTCTCATTACTAATCTATTAAAATGATATTTTCTCTTTAATGCAACGTTATTATAAAACTCAATCATGCAAGATTCTCAGCTTTTTTAACTCTCCTAAAAGCAAAGGTCACTAGCTACAGAGTAAATGCCAGATTTTATCTGGTTGTATGAGAACACTGTCTGTTGAGCTGATTTCAGCAAAGGCAGCTGTGCGGAGGTCATTTGTTTGTCCTGGACTTAGCCCTAGTATGGAGCAGCACAAAAGCTACAAAACAGGCTGACTCCTTCTTGACCACAAGGACCTTTGCTCAGAAAGAGCCCATACTGCCTAGACTCACCTTGTCCCTCTTGTCCTCAAGACAGTCTCTCACGGAACCTGCCCTGCCCGTTTCCTCACCCAGCACAAGCCCAAATCTGTACCAGGTCAAACACAAGAGCCAGGTCAAAGAGTCTGGCTAAACCTTCTGTAGTTCTAATAAATGACATTAATTACATCCACATGCACTTAGTATACACGTTCCAAATCTGAACTCTCCTTCCTCATTGAAATCTCTGCTTTATCAGCTTCTACAGAAAGTTCAAATGATCTTTTTTTTTTTTTCTGGAGTACCATAAAATTATGATTGACATTTATAAGGATACACCTTAGGCAATGCATCAAATGACGCAGAGATGCCAGTTGACTCATCTAAGATTAAACTATGTTCAGTATGATTTTGAGTATTGTAAACATCGTGGTTTATTGGAAATGAGTAATCCTTCCAAGTGGTGCTAGTGCTAAAGAACCCGCCTGCCAATGTAGGAAACGTGAAAGATTTGGGTTCAATCCCTGGGTGGGGAAGATCCCCTGGAGGAAGAAATGGCAACCCACTCCAGTATTCTTGCCTGGAGAATCCCATGGACAGAGGAGCCTGGTGGGCTATGACCCATAGGGTCGCAAAGAGTCAGACACGACTGAAGCGACTCAGCACAGCACAGTCTTTCCAACCTGCATAATCTGTGTGCATAGAGAAGACATTAGATAAATAATCACTGTTCAGTTACTATGTGCTAATATTATGTTTGCAGTGTGACAGATGAAAGCTTTAGTAGAAAAAAAAAATGTCAACATAACTAAAAAAGACTTTGGCATGGTGGTTCTCAAAGTGTAGATTCCAGACCAAGCATCTGAATCACTTGGGAACTCACTGGAACCACAGTTTCTTGTGCCCCAACTCTGGGGCTGAGGCCAGGTAATCTATCTTCCAGCAACTTTTCCAGGTGATTCTGACATGCACTAATGTCTGAGAATCACAAGACTCAAGGGAAGCTGCAGTAAAGAAGCATCCTCTGATCAGGGCCTTGTAGGTCAAGTGAGCGAAGAAGATATCCACAGACCCAAGGAAGGAAGAGAAAGAATGCAGGGGCAGGAAGGAAATCTTGTGTATTTAGAAACTAGCAGATGGTCTTGTTTGGCTGGAATATGTGGTACAAAAAGGTGAACAGAAGACGATGCTGCAAAAAGCAGATATGTGTCAGGTGAAGAAAGACTACATACCGGATTTTGCCATCCATGCGGAGTCAATGAGAGCCTGATGGGAGGGTCTAACAAGACCAAAGATCCCATCAGGAAATACCTTTGGGAGTCATATTTGCTATCACATTATAAAATAACAAAAGATGATAGTGAAGCCAAGAACTTAGACTGATGCCTATCTCCAAATATTCCTCTGCGGAAAACATCTCCACGGATAATCAAAGGATTCCAACTCATAAATTACAATATCCTTAGCATCTTGATTTTACATTTAGAAGTCCTGAGCCATTGAACTGCAATAAATCAGCTCAGAAATGACACTCTGCTTCATTTCTCTTTGTAGACTTTACGAGAGATTTTCTCCCCTAACTGATGAAGACAAGAAATAGAGCAAGTGTCAGCTGTATGAACAGATTACTTATTGTAATTAAAATGAATAACCCTCCAAATTTGCCTAGGGCAAGGAGACTGAACACCACAGTTAAAAGTAATACAGGAGGCTCCTTAGGACAAGGGATAGGTGATTTTAGGAAATGTGTTTAAAATCTTAGGTTCTTAAAGGCCACCAGCCCACAGTTCCATTTTGAACATCCAAGTCTCTGACCATGATCTCTTATTAGTACCTGGGACTCTCAGCATCTTCAACTAGACAGGAAGTTCAACCCATTCATCTGTCACCTGTTCCCCCTGATCCACTTTCTCATGTCTTCTCAGTTCTCCTTACAGCTTAATATTCAAGGTCATTCATCATAACAATTCCCTTTTATACACCTTTAATGACCACTTCATCAAATTCCCTTGGAAAACCAACTCTGGTAAAATATCAACTTTCTTTTTAAGTCAACCCTGCACACACATGAGATGCACATGGCTGGGAAAACTCACGCATCCATGCTGGCTAGTCGTGCATGGAGCTCATGACTATGAACCAACCACAAGCAGATATTTTGAGCTGCTCAGCACTCTCTACAATTCATTAATCATTGACTTTTGCACACACTCTCTCTTTTTAAAAGTATTTCTCACATAGTATTTAATCTTTTCTTATTCTTTTTAATTTTTAAAAAATTTTGGCTGTACCACGTGACATGCAGGATCTTAGTTCCCCAACCAGGGATCAAGCCCATGCCCCCTGCACTGGAAATGCAGAGCCTTAACCACTGGACCACCAGGGAAGTCCATATTTACCTACTCTCCCATCCGACTATTTTAACCTCTCCTTTTCCCTGTCCTCACCCTCAGCTGAGTGTTTTGCCTCCGACAATGAGCTGAACTGTGCCCTCCAAAAGCTATGCTTGAAGTTCTAACTTCTGGAACTTGTGGATGTGACCTCACTTGGAAACAGAGTCTTTGCATGTATAATCAAATTCAAATGTGGTTATTCTGGAAGCCTGGAATGCTGCAGTCCATGGGGTCAAAAAGTGTTGGACACGACTGCGTAACTGAACAACAAGTATGGATTAGGGTGACCCCTAAACCAATGACTGGTGTTCTAAGAGGGAATTCGAACAGAAACACACAACAGACTATGCCATGTGATAATGAAGGCAGAGTTTGGAGTGCTCTGCACAAGCCAAGGCATGCCAAGGACTGCCAGCAACCCTTGAAGCCAAGAAACAAAGAGGTCTGGAGCAGACACCCCCCTCAGAACCACTGAAAGGAATCTGATCCTGCTAACACCCAGATTTCAGACTTCCAGCTTCCAAAAATGTGAGAGAATGAATTGCTACTGTTTTAAGCCTCTGTGGTGGTTAATCTTATATATCAACGTGACTGGGCCATGACGTGACCAGATATTTGGTCCAACAAGATTCGTGATGTTTCCGTGGGGAGAGGAACACTGAAATCGATGGATTGACTAGAGCACATTGCTTTCCCAATGTGGATGGACAGCACCCAATCAGGTGAAGGCCTGATTAGAACAAAAAGATTGACTCTCCCTGGAGTAAGAGGGAATTCCTCTTGCCTGACAATCTTGAGCTAAGACATCCAACTTTACCTGTGTTTGAGCAACAAACTAAAACACCAGCTCTTCTTGGGTCTTCAGCCTTCCAGCTTTCAGGCTGGAACTTGCACTCGGCCTTCCTGGTTCTCAGGCTGGACTCAGGACTCAGGCTGGAGCTACAACATGGACTCCTCCAGGTCTCCAGCAGGCTGCCCAAAGGTGTTGGAGCTTTTCAGCCTCCACAACTGTGTGAATCAATTCCTTACAACAACTCTCTTTCTCTATATACATGCTCTTAGCTCTGGTTCCCTAGGGAACTAGTTTCTAACTTCACTTGGTTCCTGGTACCTTGTTACAGTAGCCCTATGAAGCTAACACACTTCCTCTATCTCTAGAAAGCTGATGCAGAGAGAAGCAAGCATCTCTAAGCATCTGTCCTGTGAGACCCTGCCTTGCCTTCCGTTGCCATAGATACCCACCTACTCTTAGGTGTTGCTCGCTAATCAGTCCACTTGCTCACTGATCCCATTCCCTCCTATACACTCAGACACATTAGACTCTTTCTTTCATCAGTTATGTTCTTCTCTCTGCAAGATCATTTCCATAAGCAGAAAAAAATACTGTAGATTTCTCCAGCTTAAAAGAAATTCCTCTTTGAACCTAGCTCTCCTGGCCCTACTCCCAGCGACTACTTTCCCACTTCTCTCATCCAATCTGAAGAAAACGGAGTTTTCTAAGTTTGTTTACTCACTTTTCCAGTTCCCCTCCTTCCACTCTCTCTTAAACCCACTCTAATCAGCCTTCTGATGCATCCTTCCAGTGAACTAGCTCAACAAATATTTGCTGAACAACAGGCTGGTACTGCTCCATCCATGGGAATATCCTTACCCTTCACATTCCTATCTCTATGATTCCTAAAACCATACCTACCTCATACACAGTACATACATCATAAAACATACAGGATCACAACTCACAAGCAGTGTGCTGGAGATAAGTCGATCATTCTCTCCAGATTTCTCCATCTTTAAAAAAGAAACGCTAGGCGTTTCTTAGTTTCTTACCCTTCCTAATTTGACTTTCTATGACCGGCTTCCATTCATTCCCTAGTGGTCAGCTATGGTCTACCCATGCCTGACTCATGGGGAAGAGAGTCCCATGATTGGAGACTTTAGGGTGCATATATTTCTCCCCTGAAAGAAAGAGGAGGGAGTAGAAGAGGTGCAGAAGGATGGAAGGAGAAGCAATAAAGAAAGGAAGAAGAAGCACCACTCAGAAGACTCTACTGTTAAAGAAATATTCATTTTTATATCCTTATCATAGAGCAGAGTCCCCTGGACTTCAAGGAGATCAAACCCATCAATCCTAAAGGAAATCAACCCTGAATATTCATTGGAAGGAATGATGCTGAAGCTCCAATACTTTGGCCCACCTGATGCGAAGAGTCAACTCATTGGAAAAGATTCAATGAAAGATTGAAGGCAGGAGGAGAAGGTGGTGACAGAGGACAAGATGGTTGGATGGCATCACCGACTCGATGGACATGAATTTGAGCAAACTCTGGGAGATAGTGAAGGACCAGAAAGCCTGACATGCTGCATCTCGTGGGGTCTCAAAGATCAGACACAACTGAGTGACTGAACAATAATCAATCCTAGAGCAAGAGATGGTCACATAAAATGACTGCTCCTCAAACCTTTTAGTCTTTAGTAAGCATTCCTTTAAACATTTATGTAAAGTCTATTTTCTTCTACATTCAATTTCTTTCAATGACAATTACTGCTAACTGCTTCTCAAGCACTCCTCAGGACAAAGAGAATATATCTAAGACACACAGGACAAGATTGACCTTCTCCACTCACCCCTAAATCTTGAGAAGAACCTGCAAAAGTCCTCTCCATATCTACGAACCCCCATGTCCTCAACCTTGATACAGAGCAGCCAGGTGTGGCTGGGTAGGTTACTCTTGCACCACTGTAGCCCTCAGCCAAAGGTGGTTGGAGGCAGAAATCCACTTGAAGGTCTGTTGACCAATCACACACCCAGGGAGTGGGGCCCAACCCTGCTTCACACAAACTTAACTTATGGACTACCTGGGACCACGCACGGTCAGTGAGCACACATCTTCATTTGGTCATTCAAGTGACAGATAAATGTGGAGCTGCTGCTCCATGAGTACCAGGCATGGTGCTTGCTACTAGGAACACAAAGGGAAGTAAGAAACCTCAGATGGTTCTAGTGGACTGCTGATGACACACCATGGAGCAGATGGTCAAGGGGCAGAAAAGGAAAAGGCACAGAATTATGGTGGCTTAGCCGGACCAGTGTTCCCAAAATGTAGGAGAGGCCCTGGAGTCCATGAGATGGTCTCAGGCAGCACACACACAGCGTTACCTAGCATTCAATCACCTTGTAAGAAAGTTATGTCCACTTCAACTCTCTCTCAAACAATATCAGGGAGAAAGTCTTGGTTTGGTGCCAGTATATCCTGAACATCTTTCTTCCAGGCTTATCTTCCTTTTTTAGCCCAAAGGATACCAACTCCCAGATCAGAGGCTTCAGAAAACATTAACACCTCATTAATTTTTCCCACTTTAATTTTTATTGTTCCAAATATTTACGGCAGTGTTCCTAGTTCCGCATGTAAAGTGATGACATAAATGTCTTTTAAAATAAATGTATCACCTAAAAAGGTGTGTTGATTTAATGACAATAGAGAGTATATATTTCAGTTAGCACAGTTATGTAAAAACTTCAGGAATGGCATATGGTATCAAAATTCTGTTGATTGTATCATACAAATGACAACTGGATGAGTACCAGGCTCCAGCCCCGGCTGCAGGAGCAGTAGGTCCGTGTCTGTCTGCCCCCAAGGTACCCCCAGCGCTTGGCACACTGCCAGACATCTATCAGCTGTCACTAAGCATGGCTATAATGGACAAAGGCAAGCAGAGATGCCCACTCATTGTCCAACTCCAGGAGAGATGGGCACGTAGAGAGAACATGAAGGTGAAGTTCCTGTCTGTAGATTGATTGTATGGAGGGAAACTTGGGGGCCTTTTCCCCATTTCGAGGAGAAAGAGAAAGTGGGTCTCTGTTTGGTGAACCTTTCTACAAGTCATAGCTGACTGTTGATGATACTGTATTGAACAGATGTTTTGCTTCCAATATGGGGTTGCACAGAGTCAGACACGACTGAAGTGTCTTAGCAGCAGCAGCATTCCCATTAATTTCTTAGTCATACTGACTTTTGTTTGTTTTGCTTGGCATTGTTCTATTTTATTCACAAATTAATTGTGAACTGGGTTCTTTACAAGCCTCTCTGTTCCCAAAGTGGTCCACTATGCCAGGCTCTCTCAATGGAAACCATGTCACCTCCAAAGGGGGGCAAAAACTAGTTTTGGAGGCTGAAAAGAACACTTACTCTTTTTATGTGTAAAGCAAAGTTGTGACTATAGTGTGTGTATGCACGCACAGTCATGTCTGACTCTTTGCAACCTATGGACTGCAGCCCACCGGGCTCCTTTGTCCATGGAATTATCTGGGCAAGAATGCTGGAGTGGGTTCCTTCTCCAGGGGATCTTCCCAACCCAAGGATTGAACCTGCATCTCTTGTGTCTCCTTCATTGGCAGGCAGATTCTTTACCACTGAACCAACCTGCAAAGTCCTGGGACTACAGTAGATAAACTATTATAAAGTACATATTGTAAAGTATATATTGAAATTCATTGGGGAGGGTATAACTAGGGGAAGATATCTAGAAAGGCTTCTTAGGGAGAAATAATAAAAAATAGAGTTGAGAAAACCTACTCCACTTTCTCAAGCTCAGCATTGTTGATAAGTGGTACTGTGGGGCACGTCCCGGAGTTGTGGGATGTTTGGCAACATCCTTCTACCCACTGGATACTTGTTGCATCTCCCAGTTGTCTTCAGACATTGCCAAGTACCTCTCGGGAAGAGGGCAAAGTGCCCCCATTACAGAACAGCTGGGCTAGAGGAAACTGCCGACAGGTATCAAATGCAGGTAGGCAGTAAGTCAGCCAGCTGACCTAGGCCTCTGAGAAGAGGGACCTTCCAAGGATGTGAACATTTTCTCTCGAGACAATGAAAGGAAAGTCTTATGCATCCGAGTTCCTCCTCCAGGGCTCATTTGGCACAGTGCAGTTCAGCAATCCCCACTAAATCACACAAAATATCCACCAGTGACTCTAAGAGATATTCATCAAAAATAAATGTGAGCCCAACCGATCATACACACCCTGTAACCTAAGGCCTCAAAGGCTTAGGGGTATTTTTCAATCCCCTCAGCAAGTTCATTCATGAGCTTATATTTAGACCCTCTTAATACTTCAACCAAAATGAACAGGTTCAGAGCACCCTGCGGTATGTGAATCAGCACTCTTAAATTGGATTAAGATTTTTAAAAGAATTGGTAAATCAAATGAAAGTAAAATAAATCTCGTCAACTAAAGAGCAGGCTTATAAGAGATAGTGAGGCATTTTATACAGCAGAAAGAGGGATTTAGAAGATAAATTCAAAATCCAGTCCCATCTTTTACTAACTCTGTGGCTTTGGAAAACCAAAATAATCTCCAAAATTTAAATGCTAAATGTTTTACAATTTAAACCCGAAACAGCATATGTGCTATGCTAACAGCACGGGTGCTAGAACCTAGCAGAATGCCTGACAAGTTACCCAATGAATATTAGTGCTTTTCTTTCGCTGCTTCCTTCCTTCCTCCAATGCATGTGAGCACATACTCGTTGTAACTACAAGCATAAAAATAAAGAAAAATTATTAAAATAAAATAGGAGATTAAAAAAACAAAAAAATTTTAACATGTTGGGGCAATTTATATTTTACTATTAATTAAAATGAAGACATCATTCTTTTATACACAAGACAGCTCACCAACTGTCACTGAAATACCTTTTTTCACCTCTCTGCCAAGATCCACTTTGATGGACTATGCATATGGCAACTGCTATAACCAGTATGCTTCACTTCTAAGGTGTACCCCACACTTTCAAGTGTGACTTCCCTACAACATGACTGAAGACCAAAAGAGTAACCTTTTGGCATTTCTAGTTCTTTCTGTTGTTCCAGTATATAAGCAGTATTGGGATGCACTGCACTAAAAGACTCTGGCATTCCCTTTCTGCCACTGATTTTACCTTACAACTCTGAAATTTACTTTGGTACAATAAAAAAGAAATTCTTCACCTCTCACAAATAGGGTATTAATTTGCAGGTGATGATTTGAAGAACCTTAGAAACAGGACAATAGAACACTAGAGGTTAAAAAGTATATTTTATAGAGGATATGTGAGCAGCTTCCTGATTTCCTGAAGTCTATTTTACCATCGATAAACTGGTATTAATAATAAAATAAGAATAAATCTAGCTTACAGAATCACTGTGGGAAATAAATTAATGCATTAAAACACCTAGTTCCGTTCCAGTGTCCCGTATAATAGCATTCAGGAAGTACTTGCTTTTATTACACTGAGGTTTACTATTCTCACTGTTGTTATTGTTCAATTGCTCAGTTGTGTCCGACTCTTTGTGACTTCACGGACGGCAGCACACCAGGCCTCCTTGTCCTTCACCATCTCCCAGAGTTTGCTCAGATTCATGTCCACTGAGTTGGTGATGGTATCTAACCATCTCGTCTGATGTTGCCCCCTTCTCCTCCTCCTCTCGATCTTTACCAGCATCAGGGTCTTTTCCAATGATGTGGCTCTTCACATCAGGTGGCCAAAGAATTGGCGCTTCAGCTTCAGCATCAGTCCTTCTAATGAATATTTAGGGTTGATTTCCTTTAGGATTGACTGGTTTGCTCTCTTTGCAGTTCAAGGGACTCTCAACAATAACAACTGTTGTTATTGTTGAAAAACAACCATTCTTATTGTTATTATTTTACAATTCTCTTTTTTATATCTAAAAATAGTAAAGTTCAAAGAGATCTATTTGCTCATAGTTACACAGGTTATTAGGAACAAAATTAGAATTTAGACTTTCACATCCCAGTTCCTTCCATGCTGCTTCCTCAATAGACTATTTATTCATTACATTCAAACTGCATTTAAGAGATTAGTATACATAATCTAATCTGGTTATCTTTTACTGCATAACAAATTACTCCAAAATTTAGTGGTTTAAAACAACATCCTTTTTTACTTTTTAATAAATCTTATAATTTGATTGATCAGGAATTTGTGCAGGGTTCAGCTAGGTGATTCTTCTGCTCCACCTGATGCTAAAATGGCTCAGTGATACTCACCTGGTGGACAGGTTGATCAGAAAGGCTTCAGTCACTTGCCTGATGCCTTGGGAAGGATGGCTAGAAGGTT